GAGCCTGCAGTACAGCAACGCTGCACAGCCCCAGCCCCAGCCCCAGCCCCAGCCCCAGCCCCAGCCCCAGCTCCATCCTGTTGAGAGGAGCTGCTGGTGGGCAAGACCAGGGCCCAGGCAGGCCAGGGCAGCCACGGTGGCTGTTCCTGGGAGCTCCCATGGCCAGGCCATTGCACTGGGGGGTGGCTTCACCCCACTCGTACTGTGCCTGGTGTGCAGGGAGGCCGAGCCCAGAGCTGAAGACCCCTGGGCCTGGCATCCTACCCCGGCCAGGCAGCGTCCCTGGGCTGGGCTCCACCTGGGGTGCTGCTGGGCGTCCCTGCCTCTTTGCCATGGCCTGAGCCCACGGAGCCCTGGGGCTGCCCTGGTTCCCACTCAGCCCCTGCCTTCCCTGCCTCCCCAAGCACCTGCTTCTGCCCATGCCATCCAGACCCTGCCCTGAGCACCTGGCTCTGGCACTCAGCGCCCCAGTGCTGCCCCCACTGAGGTGGGATGGGGCACCCGTGTCCCCAGGCCTAGGGCTCACCCACCCACTGGGAGCCTCCAGTGCTGCAACCCTCCACAGCCACTGCCGGGCCTGGACCCTGACCCCGCACCCCCGACAGCTCCCTTCCAGGGGCTGGGCTGGGCTGGGCTGAAGGACGCAGCCCAGGGATGGGGGGCAGGGTCAGAAGAACACAGACTGTGTCCCCGTGACTCCACCCCTGCTACCTGTGCTGCTCCCAAAGCAGCAACTTAAACGTATTTTTAAGACCATGTCCTCACACACCTCTTGCAGTGCTGGGGAAAATGTCTCCGCAAGCTACTAATTGGCACGCGTGCCTGGGGTTGCCGATCCCTGCTTCACACAATCCGGAACAATGATTCACTTCTCCCTACATTTGGGTGGGTGAAAGGTTTGAAGATCTGAGTGTGGTTGTGGTATTGGTTCACTGGACAGTCCTTAAGATCCTGCTCATTCCATCTGCATCACTAGAGTAGCTCATATAAGGTAAGCAGCACAATAAAGCAGCTGTTCCTTTGAACACAGGAACTCTGAGGAAATTTGCAATCTAAACAAATCTTATAGCTCAATGAAATACTTTACAAGATTACATCCAGCTGAAATGTAAAATGAAACCTGACACCTAGTGCAAGCCAGTTGTTTAAATTGTACCCAGTGAAGTCTTTAAATTCATTGTCAAGAGACATGAAATTTCACTTCTTTCTCCATGAAACAGAATTGATATTATGAAAAACAATAGTTTTAATAGCCAGATGTTTCCTGGAAAAATTACAGACCTGTTTGTTATGCATTTGCTCAGCCTGTATACTTGAAAATAGGTCATGTGTGTACTAGAATCTAATCGACTATAATAGTATCTCCCATTAGCTGTTTTACGATTTGACAATAATCAGCCTAGCTGACAGAAGCAGAATCAGAATAAAGTAGGGTTGCCCAATGCCCCCAGGGTAGCCTAAATTTAGGGCACTTCTAAAATATGCAGGTTGTGGGGCCATCCATCTACTCCCAAAAATTGCAGTTAGGACAAAAGTAATCAGCTTTAGGTTTGTGTTCCTGGTGAAAAATAATAAACGTTTTATATTTCATTATCAAGGAGGACACCAGTGTAGGCAAAATTTAGTGATGCAGAGAAAGTAAATAGGGATTTATTATTTACCATCTCTCAAAATACTAGAACTGGGAGACATAAAATGAAACTATTAGATAATAGGTTTAAAACTAACAAAAGGAAGATCTTTTTTACACACAAATTATCTTGAGGAACTCATTGCCCCAAGAAGTTGCGGCAGTTGACAGTTTAATCCAGCTCAAAAGGGGACGAGGCAAATTCACAAAGGAAAGATCCATCGGCAGGTGCTGAACATGGTAGATAGGGGGAGGAGAGCAGGCTCTGAATCAGAACTTCTCAGCTCGGAACTTCAAGGGGTGGACGTTCCTACGTCAACACTGTGAACACATGCAATTTTATAAATAGGAAAATTAGGGAAAGCCCCCACAAGTTCCTGGCAAATTGTCACGAAGTCCTTTGACATGGAAAGGTTGGTCTATCCTTAATTAAAACAGCAGCTTTCCATCCTGCAATAATCTGGAGTATATCATCAGTTCTGCATAGTCTGTCAGTATGAATGAGAGATATCTACATATACTGTGGAGGGGCAAGGCTGTTATTATATGCAGCTCTTTGATCAGGCTTATAATAAAATTTCTAGCACTCTAGATTATGTTAAAAGAATGTGTTCAGAAACTTAACAAGGACAAGAAACGTCATGCTTAGCAGTTCTATCCCTCATTTAGTATCTCAATAATTATGCAGTAATTGATGGCACTAATGCAATGTTCTTAGGGTGCATGCAGACATTTCTGGGACCAAATCTATGATCATATGGCTTGTTTTGAGCTGCATGATCATAGACCATAGGCTGCTTGTGCACATGTTTGCTGGTGCTGAGAGGAACATGATCTAAATTGGGATGATTTGAGGGCAAGTGGGATTGGGAGGGCTGGCAGGTCTGCACAGGAGATTGCTGGGTCTCTAAGGTGGATGAAAATAGTTCAGTCAGTCAGGGCTGGGGCTGGGGGTAGGAATAGTACAGTTTCATAATCTAGAGTGCTAGGGTGAGCAGCTGAGACTTTCCAGGCTTTGGGCTGCACTCTGAATGTGTACAGACTTCCAGTAGATCAGACTAAGTCATGCCCAGTCTCAGTGCACCTCCTCAGGTGACCTAAGATCAGGCCAGCCATTTTTGTTTGATCTAACCTCCCCAAACATCTGTATAGAATGGCACTTAGATTGACCTAGTCCTAGTCTTCAATGTCTTTCTAAAAGATATGCTGTAGCTCTGCCAGAAGTTAGATTCAATTCAGGAGCTACTGGGTGAAATTCAATGGCCTGTGCTACGCTGGAGGCCAGACTACGTGCTCGTAATGGTGCCTCCTTGATTTAAAATCTGTGGTGATTACTGCAATTAAAGCAAATGAATGTAATAATACATCCTGATAAAATCCTTTACTGTTGAGTTCAGATTTTTATTACAGAATACTTGCTCCTGGTAAGAATAATAAATAAGGGAGGCAGCCAATTTATATTGCTAACTTTTGCTAACTTAATCTTTATAGAGATTGAGTTCATTGCTAACTTATCTTTATAGTTTATGTTCTGCAGTTACACATAAACAGAGATGACAACTGTCAGCTAACCATGTACATTAGATGAACTACAGAGGAAAGAACACAAGTCCATTTGCTGCAGTCATGGGTGAATGACAGATTTTCCATTAGCTACTACTACTTGGCAGTTGCATGGCTTCTTTCAGGCGAAGCACTGGAATGCACTAAAAGTATAAACGCTTAAGCAAAGCATTGTCCTGTGCTACTCCATCCAACAGGATGAAATAACAAGCTATAAAGTGCGGTTCTGAGCAGAGCTATTCTTTGGGCATATACAATTCAGAGTGCAAACTGGCAACTAAATTAGGAGGCATATGCTAAAGCTTTAAACTAGTATGTGAAATGTGCCTGGACCAAAGCTGAACACAACTCAAACTTCTGATAGGGTTCAAAAACCTATCTTTGAATTTCATAGCTATAAGCTAGGTTCAGAAACGACAAATCAAAGTCCCATATCTCAAATGACTTCCCCAAAAATGTGCAGTGTTTAAATCTTAGATTCCACAGCTCAGACCTGCTTTTATTAAGACTAATTCTTCCCATGTTTAATCATTTGCCACAATCACTATTA